CGAGTCTTTCGCACGGCTTTCAAAATAGGACAGATTTACGGCTATCGACCAGTCGACATGTCTCTGTTAGACTTCAGACGAATCAGCCTTTCTTCTTTCTTATTGGAACCCCTTGAGGGACTGATTGAGCCTCTCTCAGTATGCGTACCTTATAGTTGTGTTTTTGCTTTCACAGTAGCCGGTTCTGTTCAACCTTAACTCTTCGAAAAATCGTGAACAAAATGATGAGTTGCAGCCAGAATTTGTGTAAAAGTGCAAAGGCTTGTGTGAAGTATGTAATGGTTTCACACACACGGAAATTGGAACGCGTGAAACGGCACGAACAATTCGTGGCCAGCTGCCGGCTTGTATATTACTTTTCCGATCGGCTGCCGGTTAATCGGCGGTGCCCTTCCACCCTCTTATTGGATCGCTGTGGTAAACGACGTACAAGAGGAGTAGGAAAGGAGACTATATTGGGTTTTTGCCTACGCTATCGACGTGGCACTCATCTTTAGACCAAAGTTTTTATACTCTCTGTAGGATCTTATGCAGACGTACCTAAAATTGGTAATGAGCTGGTCTCTTAATTGCGCACTTGCTTTTTGTCTTGAAAAGACGGAGCTCGTTATATTTACGAGGATATTAAAGTGCCCAGCTTTCTTGGAAGAAAAATATTTAGGAGCGGGTCAGGAAAGCCATCAGTTTCTCTATACTGCTGTAAAAACGCAATGGGAAAGAGTTGGGGCCTAGGAAACAAGCTATTTATAATAAATGGGTTCAAGGTATGGATCGAAGCTGTATGACAGAACTGGAGGTTATCTATTCTGTCCGAAACTCTCTGTAAATCTAATTTTTAGACTGCCGAATTTTTGCAGTGTTTTTCAGTCAAAAGCGGCCGATTGGTTACGCACCAAAGTAAGTGTTACCAATTAGAGGAGCAAATATCTGCTATGAAAGCTAGCTAAACAGGGTTCTGGGATCGCTAATGGTATGACCGAAACTACTCGAGGAAATGCTAGGATTCTCTCTCAATCAGCTCAAACAGTGGACAAGGAGGGCATATATGATACTTTGGCAACTTATGGACTACTGCTAGGCAAATAAGTTTACAGTTGACTCAGCGAACGCTGAGCGAAACCTCGACATGCAAAATTTCAAAAGCCTTCCAACCGGTAGTCCACCCCTCCATCTCTCGCTCATGACATGGAGGACGACGAAGTGGAACTTAGCTGCCCAGCTTTTGCCAGATTAAGATTTAAACAGCTCGGCTTCTATTTAACTAAAACTTTTGAGAAACTCCCTGAAGTGGACAACATCTGTCCTCTGACCTTATTTTGAGCTCCTGTATTTTCCTTAACTTCACACGGATTACCTGTAGTTGCCGTTTTAGGAATAATCTACAATGGCACTTGAACCGGAGTGGATTCATCAATATCCACCGGAGAAGGGCATGTCCAAGAAAAAGTTATTGCAAATACAGACACGAATATTCAACTTACGTTAGACTAAGGAAACGTGTGGTTCCAACAGCGTGGAACCAGAGGGACAGGGTGTTAGTTGACTTTGAGTGGGCGTGTTATAGGTGTTTGCGGTCATTTTGGGTACGCCGGGGTCTAGCCTGTACAAATCGGAGTTTAACCTACTACAATATCAAAACCGAAGTTGGGTCACAGGGGAGGCCAGTGCGTACGTAGTTCTGCACCTCGTCCTTCAGTATGCCTAGGCGGAGGTGGGGTCTCAAGCAAGTGCCTGTTCGGGTGCTCACTTCTGTAGCATCCTACTAAGAACTGCTTACTGAGCGTGATGTTGTCATCCCTTACTGAAAGCATTTAGGCCTCACTATCAGCTGATATTCTGGCGACATCATAGTGCATCCCGTGGCTATCCACAGTGCTGTATTTTGACAGGTCCACTGCGTCCGAATTGTTCCCGATGATCACAAAGGCACTGCATAGCTTAGAAGTGACAATTGCGGTTGTGTGCTCTGAAAAAAGAGTAGGCTATCGAAGGTTACCGCGGAGATTGTAGGGTTGTTCACTGGCAGAATTGGTACGCCGTGGACACTTTCGTCCAGGTGGTGAAAATGGTTGCTGAGGATTTCGTAGAGAGGGTTAGGATATTACTTGCAGTAAAAAATCGAGAAAGTGCGGAGATGAAGCTGGGGGAGGACACCGCCCTGTGGAACCCCTTGTCTAACATGTTCTAAGGCAGAACGGAGGCATGTGTGCTTTCTATTAGCGTGGAATGACGTGCGATGTCGAACGCTTAAGGCATTTCGAACGCTTCTAGGACTGTTCTCTCACAGGGGCGGTTTAGGTTAAGGCCACGAGTTATCTGGTTGTTTATGGCGTAAAGTGCATTGGTGGTGATGTGCACTTAGCGGAAGGCATGCGTATGTTTCGCTTACGCCAGGTGATACTTGAAGTGTGGCGATCGAAACTTGTTCAGATTGGTGTAATTTTTGAATGTTTTGAATCTTTTTCTAAAAACCTTTTATATTTGCACAGTAGCCGTTAGATATGTAACTCTTCAACGTTGCATTGGTGATAAATTGAATATTTTCTAGTACATATCATTGGGATCTTTACGTAACGTATTCTGTTAATAAAATTCCAATACGCTGTAATTGCCACTTTCATGAACATGCATGTATGTTCATATGTTCGCAGTTAGGCTAATAACGGTCAATCGTTAATTGCTAACAAAATATAACCGGTTTTTATTTTTAAAATCATTCCGGCAAAGTTATAGTATCAGATTTGTTGTACTTAGTAAATATTACCAGCTTTTGCACAGTAGATAAAGGTGGCTTAGTGGGTAACAAAAGGTCATAAGCAATTAAATTTATGATTCAATGGAACACAGGTGTCTACTGGTATTTTGTTTAGTATCATACACATATGTATTCCTTTGTGAATTAAGGTAAATATTTATTTAGATATGTACATACTACACGTGTAGACTTTTGAAAAACCAAATCAATTTAATTTAACCAAAAATCATATAAAACACCGCTCAAGCTATGAAAAACAAATTTTCTTCAATCAAAATTTCTTAACTCAATAACGGCAAAGTACTTTGTCAAGCGACAAAAACAATTACTAAATAGTACATATTTCTTGAGATTTTTCTCGGGAGCTGGATTCTAAACATTAGAGAATAAATTAATGAACTCTTAAAAAAAAATTATGATTTTGTATTTTAATATAAGGCCTTTATATGTGAAAATAAGACCTTACATTGCAACCTTTACTAACTAAATACAACAAACCAGACCACAGATATCTAATAAGCTGCACTGACAAAGTAGGCAAGCAAATTGCCTTGATGTAAAAAATCCCCTATGCTAATTTCCTCTGATTGAAAGGTTTAACTAAGTGTTGAAATATGTACTCAACAAGAATACGAAGAAGGTGCATAAAGAGTTGCACGGTGAGTTTGCAAAATCCAAAGTACACATTCTGTAGTATAATTAAATCGATGATTAAAGCCCAAACGCTGTTCTTTGCCCGTTCTAGTACTCGATGTATGTACGTACATATGTAGATATGTATGTATGTAGTTGAACGTGATATATATTTCAACACGTATTTAAATGTAATTATAAATTTAACGGCGCTCATTGGAATAGACAGATATGCATACACAATATTTAATGTACATGGTTAAATTCATTTGAAAATTAACATTTTAATTATAATTGATGATATAATCTTTGTAGTTTGATGGAAATGACACTGGATTCGCTTGAAATGGATTTAAGTACAGATAGAAATTTATTATTGAAAAAAAAACAAAATACATATGTATATTTTATATAATTTGCAACTTTTCCTTGCGCACTGAAATATAAGAAATAACGCCAGTTAATTGTACATAACTTTTTCGAAATATAAATGTCATTTTTATTTGTATAGTACATACTTATATATGTATGTATGTATGTGTACAAAGAACAAGATACATACATATGTTAACGAAAAACGTCATTTTACTTAATTGATACTCTAAATATACATATATAATTTCAGTATTTGTTTAATAAATTTAAACAAAATATCAATACTTTGAGTACAATCGAATGCATTCCACAGTACGTATACAATCTATTACAATATATGTATGAATTTTGTTTTCCTTTACATGTCTGCTACTTTTTTCTATATTTAATTCCATTTATACGTGCAACTATCGGGGAGTTCACGATTTATAGCAACTTCACATCTAAAATGCTACAAATCGTGAACAACCCTAATGTATTTCTAATTACATTATCATTTTGATGTACTTTTCTTCATGTGAACATTTTTATGTATTTATTAACTTAAGTAATATTAGATTTATTTTCTATGTTTTGCTTAAGTTATTGTATGTATTGTCAGTATAAAAACGTTTGGATCTATCCTTATGGGCATTTGTGTGCACACTTAATATAATTTGTATTGATCAAAAATGCGCGATACATACATACATAATTTAATGTATTTAAGGAAGTAGAAAATATGCATATGAATACCAGTAAAAAATAAATTTGAAAGTGTGTACAACTCCAGCGTGCTTCTATGCGCAATTCCGCGCACAATTTAACTAGCATTACAGTAAATTACCTCCTATAACATTGTATACAAATGTAAATGCTACTAAAAAAAATTTGATATGCTATACAAAATTTTGCTATATTTTTGTTTAATGTTGTATGTGTGTATTTTACAATTACACTTTCACTAGTTATTGCTAACAATAAAGAAGGAATATGCTGCGCAATGTTGGGAGGGACTCAAGAAAAGTTGTGCAAACAAATTTTTAAACTTATAAATTTTTTTCTGTTTTCGTGAATGTATGAAAGCTACTAACTAAATGTCTTCTAATAAAAGTCCTGGCAAAAGTCGAGGTTTACAGTTCGTAAACTTATTAAGTACATGGTGCGTATGTATAAATAAAAATTTACGCAAATTAAAAGTAAAATTTTTTAAATACAAAAAAAAAATACTACAGACATTAATAATAAATGTACATAAATACATATGCGCGTAAAATAAGTGACTAAACTTAATGGAGGGTTGATAAAATAGAGTGTACTAGAAGTACATTATGAAAACAACAAGTTTATATGTCCACAAGTATGTAGAATTCCTATGTGTATATGTATGTAGTGCTCAACACTACTAATTATGCCCCACCAAACCTGCTCCACAGATACCCTGCACATATACATTTATTTTTAATTTATGTATTTGTGCATTTCTTGCGCGTCTTTGATGCTTTTGCATAAGCATATCTCATTTGCTATCATTTCGGTCTAATTTTTTCATACATATACTTTTGCAAGTGCTTATTATCGGGCACCGTCAATTTGCGCTTTTGATATTCAAATTGAGCCAAAGCAAATTCATACAAGTCATTTTCCATTTGCCAGATTTTCGATTTCTGTATAATGCTGATCGTATCAGCGTTCGGGGCAATCTTCCATGACGTTTGACGCAAATGTGATTTGTTGGAATGTTGATAGTGCTCGCGGAAACCGTGAAATATACTGTAAGAGCGCAAGTAACAATGGCATTTTATCGTATTGTGATTTTATGGTACTAGCTTTCTGTAAATGTACTTACCGTGGCAAAGAACGCTCAAGCAAATCGACAAAATTTTCCATTTGCTCAGTGACACCGACCAGAAAATATTCATTCACCAGATTATGCTTTGCTTGATTTAATGCCCATTCACTGCCGGGTTCCCTATAAAATGAATTAAGGCCGGTATTATCACTTGCGAAGCGAATGAATTTGGCGAAGCGAACGGTTTGGCGAAGCGAATGGATTGGCGAACGCAACTTAAATATGCATTAAGAGTGTTCGCATTTACCAGCTTGTGCAAGTTCTTTGCATCGCAAACACTTTCAATACCTTCTCTGCCTTTTAATTCGCTTGGCCAAACCGTTCGCTTCGCCAAAATCATTCGCTTGGCAAGTGATAATACCACCCTAAGAATTTTTATGAAGTACGAATCCCATTTGTTTGCAAAAACAGGGCTAGAATCGTAACAGTCGTGATCGAGCAACTCGTCACGTAAAAATGCATATTTCGGATTATAACAGTCGTGAACGTACTCTCGTAATTCGGTATACGAGGCGAGCAGTACTTTCACGACTGTTATAATCCAAATATGTATTTTTACGTGACTAATTGCTCCTTCACTTCTGTTACGATGCGAGCCCAGGTTGCTTACCAGCACTCGGCTGCATGTCCGCAAAAGAATGGTATTTGCAGCCACATGTTCTTTGGATCACAGTCTGGTTGTTTCGACAAAACGCACTCATCGAAAGTCTAGCAAGGAAAATGTCATTAGAATAAACAAAATTATATAATTGCATATAGAAAAGAGAACTTACAATTTTATTACCCGCCTTTTTACGTACTAAATTCGGACGATAATTATCACCATAGCGTAGAAAATAATAGTATGAAACTAGCCTATCCAATGGCTTACGAACTATATTTATATAAATAGGTTTGTGCGCAATTTGAAATCTATAAAACAAACAAACGCAATATAATCAAAAAATTTATATTTGTATACACCGCATTAGCTACTTGGAAAAGTCCAAAAATGCCATATGACCATGATAGAGAGCTGGAATAAAAAGTGATAAATTGTAAATAATAGCACAGAACTTAGTTACTTTACAAGCACACTTACCAGGCTTCATTTCATGCCACTTAGTGACATTACGCACAAAAGTAATCTTCGAAAAAACCAATCAAATAATGTTGTTAAAAGTAAGACTGTTTGTCAACACTACTCACCTGATTGGGCAGCGATAATACATGCATATTTGCTGTCACATTTATATGCAAGACATGAAATTTATTACGCTTGCACAAATCATAAGCGATGTTGACAAAACTTGTGGAGCCCGTTTTGGGCACCCGATTGTATAGCACTACTAATTCTTCTTCATAGTCGAAGTTATCCAATGATAAAGTGCCTGGGTGAACATGGTTTGAACCACTATTAACTGCCGTTGCTATTTTGCCCAAAGGTTTGATAGCTACAAAAAAACTCAAAATATACTTTTTTCACATCTGCATAATACATATTTACCATATTTACACTCACCATTGTTCCATGTCTCCTCTATGCGCACCTCAGATGACCAAATGAACCAGTAAGTGCCCAACGCTAGCAAACAAAGTGCACTGAATGCAAACCAATGCAAAGGCTTCCAGCCTATCAGCATTTTCTTGAGTTTTTTATGCCAACACAATAGCCACTTCATTATTAGCAACAACAACAACAAACGCTTTTCACTACTTTAAAGCATGTGCTGCCGTGTATTGCCCTCATTTTTGATTGCATCCGCGTGTCTGTGCCAAAGTTGAACACATTTAAAATTTCTTAAATTACTTAGTCCTTGCTAAATTTAAACAATTTGTGAAATGAAAGCAGCTGGTATGCTTTGAAATTCACAAACACCCTTTACTCCTAGAATACAAAAGGTCAGCTGTTTTTGATTAAAAAAATGACAGAATGAAATCCACAGAGCTGCCAGATGGCGGTTTTCGGAAAGATTTTAGATGAATACTCGGCTGAAAAGGGTATCTAAACGATGTGTTGTCCAATCTGTGTTGCCGATCGTTCGAATGTTCCAACTTTTTGCAATATTGAAAAAAAACTACAAACTTTCGTAAAAATGTTTAAATTTTTTAATTAGATTTCCTAAAAAGTCTGATTACGCAGTTTTGCAGCCCATTGAGCTCTGAAATAAAGTACAAGCTCTAGAATAAAGTACAAGTTTCAGATGGCTGAAAATTGCGGTTAATTTTTTTTTTCAAGTATAAATAAATTGTGTTTATTTGTTATATGGAACCAATTGGAAGCTGGGGATTTGACTTTACCAGATTTTACCTGTGAAAATTCTTCGCGTATGATCTTGCAACTTTTGTCATAGTCAGGACCTTTGTGCCTTCCCATTTTCCCAAACTTTACCAAAGATGAGTACGGGAACTCTCTGGTAAATTCTTTCAGCTTCTAGCGAGTTAGGGAACGCAACTGTACTTGTCAAAAAATATCGAAGTCTCGATGCTATTCGGTACTCATGAAAAGTATCGATATTCTGTACTCGGTACTCGTATCGTTCTTTTACAATTTACGGCGTTTGTGGCCTTTCGCATGAAAACAAAAAAGTGTAAACAAATAAATGGAAATTGAATTAAACATTCGAAATCTACGTAATTTGTGTCGTATATGTTTGGGTGTACCTGATTACAACTTGTGGGAGCAGAAAGTTTGTTGGGCCAATGAGGCTACAACAAATGATGGAGATACGAGCGACCAAAATGCCGAGGATATAACCGTACGTGAGGTGCTGCAAATGTACAATGATTGGCAGGTAAATTTGAGTAAAACCTTTATAGATAATCTCTCTACATGTGTTTTGACACTAGCATTCAATATTGGAAATGGATGACGAACTGCAACTGATATGTAAACAATGTCTGAATGAGCTACAACCTCATTATCGCTACTATAGGCGCTTGCTTGCCGCAAATAGGCAAATGAAGCAACTGTATGAGGAAGCACTGGAGAAGGAAGTTGTAACAAACCAAGTGATTATTGAAAATATAGCGCTTGAAGACAATTTACCAGAGTTTATGGATGTTGCAACAGAGTATCCCACACAACAAGACTCCAGTACACAGCATGAAATGTATACAATCTCCTCATTACCACTAAAACAAGCACAAAAGCGTAAATTCGTAAAAAATCCCAAATTTATACTCACGGGTGGAGTAACACAGCTACTTGCGCATGCTACGGGCGCGACCAGCTTTGCGTCATCAGTGGCATCAAATGATCCGCCACGACAAGCAAATCCCTTTTGTAGTCCACAAAAGCGAAAACGTTTAGATTTGGATGTAGTATTACCAGCGCCAGATAAGAAAGTAAACAGTGATTCACTCAGCGAGCGTCAGCCCTACCCGAAAAATCAGGTAATGGTTGCAAACCATGAAATCAGCGAAAATCATGAAAATCGTGCCATAGTGACGTCGGTAGAAGTTGTCCAAGAATCACCCAAAACTGAAATATCAACATACGAGTATTCGCCCAACGAGCAAGTCCAAGAATTTGTTACGAGCCACAATGATGATAATCCACTTAAAATTGAGAATGATGAGCAGGCTGTGCTTCCTTTTTCAACTGTAAGCGCTGATCACGCAGGTCGCTCCATATATGTATGCAAATACTGCCCTCAAGCGTTTACAGCACCTTGCTTTCTGCTTACTCATGCGCGCAAGTCGCATGTCTGTAAATACTGCAGCAAAGGGTTTATAAAAACACCTGATCTATTTGCACATGTCAAACAAGCGCATCAGGAACACAAGTGTGGTATATGCGATAAGGAGTTTAGTACCAATGGTAATTTGCGTGCACACATAAGGCGTGTACATCGATCGAAAACACCTGAATCAACACCCCGACTAATTTCGAAGTACGCTGCAAGTGAATGCGTAGGTATCATGAAAGAAGATTTTGTAGATGGTGCAGCGGAAACCATTTACATTGAAGAAACTTCACAACCGATGAAGGCAGAATATCTGGACTAAGAAAATTTTTAGTGTGATGTACAAAAATGTATACGTGACCTGTATTTTACACACTTCTCCAAATTGATTCGTGAAATAATATTAAAAAAAAAAATTAAAATTTTGGCTGCTAATTACTAGTTTATTATAGACGCAGTATCAGATCCTAATACATATATAAGCCAAAGCTTATGCTTGCGAAATTTTTAATCAATCTACATTTATATCTGTCCAGAAGTTTTGAGCGTTTTTTGTTACTTCAAAGCCCTTTATTTTATCTTCTCCCTCAATGTACATCGGCGTAAACTCTCTATATGCAATACATACACGACGTTCTTTGATGTCTTCGCGCAAAACCGAATGCTCAAATTGGTAACGCGGGGGACCATACATCACAATCAAGGATAAACTGAAAAGAAGAAAATGATCAACAATTTTAAATTAAGGAAAGCTAACCGCCAATACATTACTTAGGCATAGGTACACGTATAACTTTTTTATCGAAATGTTGAAATTCTTCTTTATTATACAAAGGTAGTATTAATTGTTTTTCATAATTCTTCACCAGATTTAAGTTATATTTTGTCGGCTTTGCACTTGCATCGAAAGCGGTCAATGTGAGTACAGCATCACCAAGGCAATTAAGTGTCACCACACGCTCCCCCCAAACCCAGCAATCATCTACATGTGGATCAATAGATGCACCCTTTGAGGACTCATATTCCAATGAGCATTGTTCAATAGTCTGAAAGTCGCTCAGCAATGACACTTGCCGTAAACGTTCTTGCACGAAACGTGTACCTTCTGGAAAACCATTGAAATTGCCATTTCTTAACTTTCGTTGTCGAAAATTTGTCTTTGGGCCGAAATTTTGTTTACGACGACCACTCTGAGACGTTGTCCAAGGTAGCGCATCCAAGCTTTCCATCAACAATTCACCTTCGCTTGCACTAATGAACTGCTCTTGAACATACAATCCCGGGAAGGGCAAACCTTCCTCCCCGTTGTGTTCAGGGTGTTTTGCACGCACTTCAAATGGATTCCAGGCTTCAAATAGTCGCTCACATGCCGGACAAAATGAATACGCGTGGAGCTCTTGCAATTGAGTATGAAGCGATGCTTTTTCAATATTGAAGTCTTCTTCACATTTTAAACATGTGCGGACACCTTTGCAGCCACACGGACGTGTAGTATTCATTTGATGATTTTACCTGTAATTAAATTTTATGGAAATAGCGCAAGCGAACAAATGGTGGCTATTCAAAACACGAACAGCTGGTCGCGTATACTGCCGTTTGGTTTTAATTTTTTAACACTACTAAAAACCAGCACGATGTGAAAGGCCCTAATACTTTCCAGAGTTTTGCCACTTTATAAATTTGAGTCGTACCAGTCACGTAGATAATACCATGTTCGGACGAAGACGAGTTTTGGGATTGTGGGCTGAAGCTGAAATTAGTCAAGAACGTAAACCTACCGGTACGTAAACCCGAGTCAGCTGACACGATCTGTCTTACCAAAGCGCCATGTAAATGAAAACCCAACACCGCAGAATTTTTCTATAGTTGTAGCCCGTAGCGCAAAAATCTGCGGAATTTAGATTTTTCCGTGTCAGCTGATTTCTCCTTCTTTAGATGGTTGCCACTTCGTCAGTTTTACAGATGGTAAAAAAGATATAAGTTCCTATTCAAATTATGTTTAAAATATTTGGCGCGTATTCATAGTATAGCAACTAAGTCGAAACTAACAAAGTTGCAACTTAAATTTAAGAACCAGCTTAAATTTTACCTCTATTCATAGTCGCATTTCAGACTTCTACTAAGTAGTTTCGACTTAGTTTACGATACAGCAAAACGAGTGTGAAAATGTATCGATTTTTCTTTACGATATTTTGGAAAAATTACATTTTTATTAAATAATGTCAAGTTTGATCATCCGTTTATGTAATTTTTATTTTCATTGCATGATTATGCAAAAGAATAAGGTATAATTTTCTTGTTAATTGTGTGAAATAGCCAGAACAACCGCAGTGATGTGAAGCCGATGTTTATCGAAAGCATGCTGTGAAACATACAAATAGTAGATATCTAAATGTTATGCACAAATTTACCTTAAAAGAACTAGTGTGAAACTGACTTATTATTTGAGAATTTATCTAAATTATTCCAATTATAAAATTGTGATGAAGCTTTATTCGAATTGTAATACGCATTTAATTTCATCTTCCGATTAAAATGGATCGATCTTTGTAAATTTTAATGGGAGATTATTTAATATTATCAAAATCACCCTCTACCAACTTAATTTTTACATATTTCGTCTGTTTTCCCTTAATTTGATAAAATACTTCTTCCTAGTTACGACTTAGTTGCAGCTGCAGCCGAAACTAAATTTTAAGTTGGTACTTATACCATGTTCTGACCGACATCGAAAACATGTTTTCGTTGCTAAAACTAGTTTTCGACCTAAAACTTGTGTTTTCGTCCATGTAAAATCTGTCAAACGAAAACCAGTTTTCGCTGAAAACTACTTGAAAACTCACGTTCCACTCATTCCAATCGGTGTCTTCACTTGTCTTTTTCGATTATTTATCGAAGTGGAAGTCATTTTTATCATCTTTAATACGCTATTTCGTATTTATTGTTAATTGGCTGGCCAAAGTAAGTAAGTTTTCCAGTAGTTTTCAGCGAAAACTGGTTTTCGTTTGACAGATTTTACATGGACGAAAACACATGTTTTAGGTCGAAAACCAATTTTAGCAACGAAAACATGTTTTCGATGTCGGTCAGAACATGGTATAAGACTTACTAGCCCAGAGTAATTGTGTTCCTTATCAACGAGAAATAGTCCGACGTAGTCAAATTTTGTCCAAACATTTTCTGTTGCAAGTCTCTAGTCTCGAGAATCCCAAATGACAAGAATTTGTAACTGATACAGAATAGAGCCGTTAATATAAAATTAATAGCTAATGGGCCGTATGAATAAAAACAAAGCAATTGCTTTTTCTTAAAATTTCATACCTTTCACTTCAATTTTGCTTGAATAAATCGAGTAGCGTAAGAAATTTTAAGAAAAAGCAATTGCTTATTTTTTTATACATACGGCCGTTCGTCCGTTTTTATGGCTGTTTGAGTCTTTAATTATTGGCTTTGTTATTTAAAGCGAGCACACTGACACGAGTTTATTCCATATCGCGTTTGATGCCATATAAACTAGGAACTCTCCGAAGTTACACGGTTTGGTCAGAAGAGTTTTTGCTGGCAAAATCTTGAAAAGTGTCAAACTTAACTGAATTTAAATTAATGGAAATTAAAGAATAAACGAAAATAATCTAAAAACTAAAAAAAAAATTAATTGAAAATGGAAGGAGGCATTCTGATTTTGACTCGTTATTACCGCCATCGACTTCCGCCATTTACTGATACTAACTAGACAATCTTTTCTGAAATCCGTTCCAGGTATTTATAAACTTGACTCTTCCATCATTTTTTGAACAAAATCTGTCGATAATTTTGCATTGTATGAGCCAAGGTGTATTTAATACACCTTGGTATGAGCCCAGTCTCAAAATACGTAAAAAAAAATTTGACTTTTTCTGACAATACTAATGTATATTTATAACTTTTCGAGACTATTACAAATATGGAAAAAATTACAACTAAAGTTCTCTATACAGTTCTATGCGAGCGTGAACGTGCATGTATGCAACCGACTCTATAGTGAACAAGGGGAATTCACAAAGACAAAAATTCTATTTGCATTCTTTTGCGTGCTCGCACATCTGATTGCTCACATATGAATGCTTTTTGAGTGCGAGCTCGGAAAATAGGCATATAATAAACTTTAAATAAGTTTTTTTTTTATACTTCTGAAAGATAGTTTCGTTTTCTTTCTTTACATAATCAGCCCAATTCTGAATACTCCCAGGGAGTTTGTTCTCCGGGAATTTGTTTCTCCCGAGAAAGGAATACTCCAACAATTACTCTCAGGGAGAAGCATTTCCCCGAAAACTCCCAGGGAGTTTCTGTTCAGAGTCGGTCTGAATAACTATTGCAAAGAGTGAAGTAATAACAAAGATATCGGTCAAAATAAAAAGTTCACGTTCACGCTCGCATTCAACTGTACAGAGAAGTTAAAGCTTACAATACAAATTAACTTGCAAGTTTATTTGCTGCATTTAAAATAATTGTTGTAGTATGAAATCGCAATTCTTGGATTGCCAGTGACAATGCTATAAACCGACACACGTTTCTTCGCATCAACATTTAGCATTTTTTCGCAAAGACAACCCCACTCTATTCCATAACAATGACTTATCGAACCAAAGTTAAGACCATTTTGAGCACTGCTTAGGACTAAACCCTTTAAATCAATTAAGTTCTTAGCGTTTTGAAAAGGACTAACACCATTACACATTTCATACAAAACACATCCCAATGACCAAACATCTGATTTAAAGTCATGTCTTTCTCCCCTCATTACTTCTGGCGCCATATAATAATATGTGCCAATAAGACCTTTTGTTGGATTATGTGAGCTGTGGACGGTCGAAATACCAAAATCAGCTATCTTAATCCTATTTTCCTTGTCCAAGAGTATATTTTCAGGCTTGAGGTCTCTATGAATTATATGTCGAATATGTAAATACTCAAGTCCCAAAAGAATATCAAATATAATAGAATAGAACATATTTTTCTTAATAGGAGGGAAGTGCTTAATGTTTCCGTTTATTGCATCTCGCACTGTACCATTTGTTGCATACTCCATAACAATGTTAACGCTGCTTCTGTATACGAATGCTCTGAAGAATTTAATAATGTTCGGATGTCTTAATTGAGAAATAATATAAATCTGTAAGTAAAAAGCTTTGAGCTTACGATGCACGATTTGTGAAATTTAAATGTATTTGCATTGTTCAACTTTCACAGGCGTTTGGTTTTATCAAAAGTTGGTTGAAAGCGATTTGTTTGCACCTTTCAAACAAAATTTTTACGAAAAGTTGAACAATGCAAAGGCGCTTTATACACACCTCATCCATCAACATTTTCATCTCTTGGTTGGGCTGGCGAATTCGTATACGCTTTACACAAACATACTGTGCACCACAGTCCAATTTACACTTACAAAGAAATACATGCCCAAAACTTCCTTCACCCAGTATACACAGAGGTCGTAAATTCGGATCTCCTATGTCCATAATAGCTATTATTCCAGCGTTGACGAAATCAATTAGGGTTGGAAAAGACGACTGTGACTTTAGTCAAAAATCGACTTTTCGTTGAAAAAACTCGACTTTTTGGAATCGACTGCAGTCACCTCAGTTTGATTAAAATCGACTCTTACTCGATGACTTCGACTTTCGTTTACTAATGCCATGTTCTGACCGACAACGAAAACACCTTGAAAACGAGTTTTGGGATTGTGGGCTGAAGGCCGTTCACACCAACTGTTGGTGTTTTCGTTGACATTTCTTTCGTCCTTTGTTTACAGTTTTGCTACACAAAAACAAAACCAAAATACTTTTCCTTAAATTTCTTTTAATTACAACGTTTTACTTCCATGCTTACTTTATTTTGGCCAGCCAATTAACAATAAATCCGAAATGACGTATTAAAGATGATAAAATATAACTTCCACTTCGATAAACTAGTTTTCGTTTGACAGTTTTTACGTGGACGAAAACAAAAGTTTTAGGTCGAAAACCAGTTTTACCAACGAAAACAGGAAACAGCTCAATTTTTGCTTTTATATTAAAATAATAATGATGTTGCAGCCACGAGGTTTTCGTGCAAATGAAAATGTAGCTGCCAAACTACCAAATTGCCGGCAATAGATGGCAAGATATAAGCTCTGATATATATTGCTCTTGAAGAGCAATGAGCGGTCTCCATTGGCTATTTATATTCTAACATATGTATCAAGGTATAAACTTTATCCTGTGGAGACGGGCAGTTACACACGGCGATTTTTGTTACGGCAACTCGAAGTTGAAGAGAGCGCGACGAGGAAAGAAGAGGGGCACCGAGTTACCCGTGCTCGGGCGGCAACACGCTTTGTGCTCCCGTTCGTCTGTGTAAATTCAGTTAGCGGTTCGCAGCTGACAACAAAAATTTCATATAAAAAGGTCGCCGTGTGTAAATGAAACGAGCAACACCTAAAGGGAATATTCCGTTGCCATTTCAAATGAATATTTAAATGGAACTTAAGTTTAATCAAAGAACGTAAATCTATAAGAAGAGACAACACGTTATAATTGTAACGAGTGGGAACATCAGGAGCGTGCTTTCTCTTTTGCCCAAATACGTCATGTTCACACTCGCTACAATTATAACGTGTTTTCTCCTCTTATCGATTAACGTTTTTTGGTTTAATTTTTGATTGTTATTTAAATGCCATTTAACTTTCGTTGGGTTTCAGATCAACTTTATTTAATTATGCCAAACAAGTGGCAACACTGTCGCTTGCTCCTTGAAATTGTTGTTGCATTTGCTTGTTTGTTTACATTTTGTACTGAACAGCTGATTGTTCTTTGGCAAGATTGATAAAACAACCTACTTATCAAACTTGGTTGTTTGGTACAAACACAGGGTTGCATATCTCATATTTAAATTGTCAATATTGGCCATTTAAGTGTATGATCTGAAAATTAGCTCTTGAAGTTAATCACCAATCTCTACATACAACATGTTTTCGATGTCTGTCAGAATATGTGAGGGATTCACAACGATGTCGTAGGCGTCGTATTGTTGTATGTCGTAATTTTTAAAAGCTTAAATAATTGTTTGGAGAACTTGAAACCACCATCAACTATTTTTTGCGAAAATTCATAATATAACTTTGATAGTACTAAGCGAACCCCTTAATATATTTTTTAGGAGTTTAAAGTTTAGGTCATACCACAATACGACACTTACGTCACGATTGTAAATACCCCAATGGTATTAGACAAAAAAGTATCAAAAATGCTACAATTGTACCAAAATGGCAACGCTGATCACCACCAATCTGGCAATGATTATGTAAATAAATAGTTGTGCGAAATTCTGGCAATGCCGGCTCTGTTATCTCTAAAGTAAAAATCAGCTGTTTCTTTTTCCACAAATAAAGGATTTATCATCACAGTGCAATGAATCGAAATTTATACTAATGTTGCTTGGAAAAACCACTTTGCGTAGAATTAAAAAAAACATAAATATTACAAAATGAACAACAACAACCCAAATATATTTTTTAATCCACTTATTAGTGCCATACAGAAAGTGGTTCTATACGAAACGCGCAGCGTAAGCAATTATCACTACATATTCACCCTGCCAATCTTAACTTAGTGGCATTTAAATTTTTTAGCGTCTCTACCTTGTTGGCAGCAATAATCGGGAAACCCGTTTTCGTATGCTCACAATTGATCGCACTCAACATGACCGCGTTGTCATCGATGAGAATCCAGATGAGTTGAATGCGCTTGAAATACGTCGATTCCTGGCATCGCTGGGTAGCTCACCGCGCGTAACATCAGCCTACGGCGTTCTAGGTTTTGTACGCTTCCTCGAAGGCTATTATTTATTGCTCGTTACCAAGCGTAAGTGTTGCGCACACATTGGCATGCATCTGATATACACCATCAAGGATACGGTAATGGTGCGCGTCAACGAACCGACAACATTGCGTACACCGCATCCTTATGAGGAGCGTTATAAAAAAATGTTTCAGAGTATCGATTTGCGCAGTAATTTTTACTTTTCCTATTCGTACGATTTGACGCGTACTCTGCAGTATAATGAATCAGCACCGCGTTTTGTGGGACCCAATGTCGATTTGGAGCACGATGAGCCGTTGCCGGACTGGAATAAGCTTACTAACAATGTGGTAGCGCCTGATGAGCGTGTGAATTATGCCTTTCGCAGCAACTCACGTACGCGCTTTGTCTGGAATGCTTTCCTCTTGCAGCCAATGCGTGGCATTATTCCTAAAGATTGGCTATTAGAGGTCACACATGGCTACATTAGTCAGTCATGTATTAGTGTGTTTGGAAGACATGTCAACGTCTGTTTAATTGCACGTCGTAGTACACGATTTGCGGGCACGCGATTTCTCAAACGCGGCGCTAACTATCAAGGCGATGTTGCAAATGAAGTTGAGACGGAACAAATTGTTACAGATGGTCAACGAATGTGCTCCTTCACACAAATGCGCGGTTCAATACCCTCACACTGGTCACAAGACGTGGTCAAGATGGTACCAAAACCACAGATTCAAGTGGATATTTGTGATCCATATGCGCAAACACCAGCGCGTCATTTCGATCGCCTACTTTTTCATTATGGCGCGCCGATTATCATTTTGAATCTGGTGAAAAAACATGAGAAACGCAAGCATGAATCGATTATCTCTAAGGAACTGGTCTATAGCATACGCTACCTTAATCAGTTCTTGCCGCCGCAACACCGTATGAAGCACATTCACTTCGACATGGCGCGCAAAAGTCGAGCTGGTGGCAATGTCATGGAAATGCTAGCTGACATAGCGGAGAGCGTCGTGCAACAGACCGGCATGTTTTTCAAGGCGCGTGGTAGCGAATGCACTTTTCAAAAAGGCATAGTGCGTACGAATTGCGTCGATTGTCTAGATCGCACAAATACGGCACAATTTGCCATAGGCAAATGTGCGCTTGGTCATCAACTAGAGCTTTTAGGATTTGTCAAATCCACTAAACTCGAATTCGACTCAGATTGTGTAACGATGTTGGAGAATTTGTATGAAGAGCATGGTGACACGCTAGCGCTGCAGTATGGTGGCTCTCAGCTTGTGCATCGCATTAAAACTTACCGAAAGACAGCAGCTTGGGCCTCGCAGGGCAATGACATCATGCAAACGCTAAGTCGTTATTACAGCAACACATTCAGCGATACCGAGAAGCAGCACAGCATTAACTTATTCCTGGGCTATTACATACCGAGCAAAAGTCATACGAAACGTTGGTATCTTTTGTATATAAAGTTCGTTTCTTTTTATTATTTTGCATCTTAATTTTGCAGAAAATCAGCCAATTTGGGAATTGCAAACAGATTACTATATGCATAACGTTTATAAGCCGCTTACACCACAAAATGAGACGCGCCACATTACAGACTGGGTGCGCCACAAGGTGCGCTCCTGTCTACCCCACTCCACTTCGGACTCGAATAAAATTGTAAAAGAACTATTTCGTGTACATTCCAAAGGTCTGGAAATGATCGACGCATATGCCAACTACCATCAGTCTTTCAAATGGACCGATCTCAGTGAGCACATCGCCTTCGAGATTAGCCAGCTTGCTTTGCGTTACATGCCTACATTCCGCACCAACTACTCACCATTCCAGCGGCAAATACAGGATCGTAAAGCAAGCAAAAATCCCAACCTAACCGGACAAAGTTCGACCAGCTCCACCAATAGCAACTCATCGAGTTCCACATCCGAAGCAGATGATACCTCGTCTGATGAGGATATAAGTGCAGGCTATTCCATTAAGGATGCAAATCAAACTGAGTCCGTGGAGCAAGACATATTTACGTTAGAGTCGCTGTTACCGCCTATGGAAGAGGTGTACGGATGTAAGATCACTAATCCATCTAAAGCGAATATGGCCATTTACAAGAAATATGTGCAAGTGGGAAAATTATGTAGTGGAAGCAATAGTCCTTGTGCACTTTCGCCATCGTTGGCGCCACGTGAACGCGATATGGAAATGGCAAAGCTAATGCGTGGCATAAACTTGCGACCCCTAAGTGATTACGGAACTAATTCGTATTTGAGTGTGAAACCACCCACAGTGAGCGAGGAAAGTCAAAAAATATATGCGGAATATTGCAAGGTGCCGCGCAACTTCAATGCAGCAGTGCCGAAATTTGAAGAGTTTGATGTACTATATCGTTACGTGCAAATGCTCTAAAGAGCTGATGAAAATATTGAGCGAGTTATGCAAGCGTTTTATGACTAAAATGCGTTTGAATATATTTTAATTGTGTATAAAGTATTATGATTAGTAGTTAATTTTTTATTGCACTTCTAAAATGCACGCAATTATAAGGAACACGTATTTCACGAGTGAAAAAATTATGTTTTCCTGTCGAGCATCTCGTCGTTTAAAGTACAAAACCGCTTAACTGACATTTGCTGTCAAAAATTGGATTTGCTCACACAAGCTCTGGTCTCAATCTTTATCCATTCATCCTGAAATATACTAGCCAGAAATACGATTGCTTTATAAAAAAGAGAACCGTTTTGAAATATGAGTGTTTTTACTCTCTTGAAAAGAATTTATGCAACCTTACATACGCGGTTTTGCATTATCTTGATACGCGGTTTTGTACTTTAAACGACGATATGCACTTTATTATAGCCATTCCGCTTACGTAAAAAGTAC